TTTAATCCTAATTGTATATTTCACTTCAGCGTGTGTTTCCGCGAGGTAATCCCTTTTTGCGCGTTACGCTGTGTACCCTATCGCATGAATCGTGAATTACGTGAATAAAGCTTGCACCGGATGTTCTACCTTTTGCGTGCGCGATACGTGTAGGTATACACTACATTAAGTCTGTGGGGAGAGCATGCACGCCGGCCCGCCTCCTCGAGCCTAATGAAGCAGCACACTCTACCAAATGCACGAACGTTCATTTGAGATGCAGTGGAATAAGGCAGCAACAAAGGTAAACAGTAGTCGCATCAACAATAAACAGAACAATTACCTTTGCAGTAGCACTATACCTGTGAGGAAATAACTTTTCGCTCAATCACGTATTACACTTTTTGCACCCTCATCCTAACCTCTTCACGTGCTCAGCAAGGTGTAACGGAGTTCCACCATCCGTAGTGTGCATATTGCCTGTTCGAGCAGTTCTATGTGTTGAAGCAGTCCCCCGTGGAATGAACGAACAAGGTCGCTAAGATATACACACATATGCATGTACGTGTGAGTATGCCTCCTCACCTTTGTATTTTTATTGCGTATTTTTAATTGTATGGGGGATGTGTTTAACTGGAACGCGTGTGAGAGGGTACCAATACACATTTGAAGAAGCATCACCAATAAGTGCTCATGTGCAATAGGTGTAAACACATACTCGTGCATGATTTAACGTAGCTGCATTAGTACCCTTAGAATCTTCCTTGTGTCTTTGTACCAGAGTACAGGTAGGAAGGGGTTGTTTAGTTCTCGCGCAACGCCGTGCCCCCGTTTTTTTTTTTTTTTTTTTTTTTTTTTTTATTATTTTTTACTTATTATTTTTTACGTTCTGCGCGCGAACCTTCTTTCAATGTTTCACTATTTATACAGCATTTACCATTTTTAACACTATTATTATTTTTACCTTTTTTACCATTTTCGCAATTTCCATCACTTTTGCTATTTTATTATTTTATTTTTTCCACATTCAGCCTTGCTCCTCCCCCACCGGCACACCTATTAATAGCCCCGTTTAAATTAACTATACTTTTGTTCGTTTCATCGCTTGTTTTTTTTTCTTTTTTTTTTGCACAAAGACTGGATCAGCTGACATGTTTGTAAGAACACGCGCACGTGTTAAGTATGTGCCTATGTGTACGCTTGTGCATACACGTGCGAACACGCCCTGTGCCAATTGTTGATTTGTGCACCGCGTACGAACAGCAGCGTAAAACATATATATAAACATATACATAGATATATGTGTGTATGTCTTAACGGTCTTGTGAGCGCTTACGTGTGTCTGCCCCACGTACCTGACTGTGTTACTTCTTTCCTTGTGTTTTGTTTCTTCGTAACTGGGTGAATCTTCTTCTTTTTTTTATTTATTAATTTTTTTTTTTTATGAATTTTCTGGGCTCACCGAACGGGGGGATGTTAGTAGCTGCCTAGACACAGGTTTACGAAGCAGTAACTGTCCGACGTGGTCAACTGGAAAGAAGCAGCACGTTCCGCGCGTTTGTATGGGTATACACTTGTATGGATGCACGTTTGTGTATACGTAGACATGTGTACATAGCTCTTCTACACGACTCACAATTCTACACGTGCCCCTGTTGAGGCATTTCTGTACCCCCCCTTCCATTTGCATGTCAACGCCGCCACGTAAAAGACGTAACAAATTTTCTCGCCATTTGAATTATTCCCATTTCAGTGCTGTAACAATTCCAAGGTGGAAAATAATTGGTGTTTTTTTTTTTTTTTTTTTTCCCTACCCCCTCTTACCCATTTTTTGTGTCCTGTCTTTAACAGCCCACCCCACACGTGTCTACGTGGTTGTAGTTCTGTGTACCGCCATCCCCATATGAATAATTATACAAAAGAGATCACATATTAAAAAAAAAAAAAAAAAACCATAGTAATAATGATCAATTGCGACGAGAACGCAGATGCTGCTGGGAGCCACAAAGGTAATTGCACCAAATGTATGATCAAGTTGCAGTAGCAATCGTCCAATTCGCTTCTACACGGGTAGACGCCTCGTCAAGGATGATCACCACAAAAGCTTCACTCATTTGTGTCCATGGTACACTTCGAAGCTGCTTCATTTTAAAAAAAATTTTTTTACCCGCCTTTTTGTAGAGATCCCCCCCAACAGTGCAGCAAAGAATAGAATGCACGAAAAAAAAGCAGATGTGAGCGAACCTGATGCGTATGACCCAAGTGAAGACAATACAAAGAACAAGGGCGTTTGGTATAATGCCAGGACCAAGTGTTGGCTAGCTTGTGTCAAAGGGAGTGGAAGACACCTGCGTGTTTTTTCTGTTAAGAAACATGGCTTTAAGAGAGCCAGAATGTTAGCCGTTGAGTGTAAAAATTCAACCGTCATTAATTTTAATTCTGTGGCGAACGGGGCCGAAAATGGGACCGCAAATGGGGCTGCAAATGCGGAAGCCAACGTAGCGAGTGGCCAAACGGATAACCCCCCGGGCAGCAACGCAAACAGCGCAGAGTCCACAACCACGAAGAAAAGTGGTGTGTATGCGAAACTTAAAAATGAGCCAAGGACCCTTGTCAGAGGAAGAACCAGAACATACAGCTACAATGAGACTGGTCGAACTCATCACACAAAACTGGAACCACAAGAGTCCATGGATGCAGGAAGTTTAGCCACCATGAATAGTGAGAACGCAAGTGGGGTTACAAATGCTAGTATTAGCGCAAGTGCAAGCGCGAACGGTGCAGAAGAAAGACCGGACCGAAGAAGACGCTACAACACAAGGAGGGGTAATAATAAATCACTGGAAGAGTTAAATAAAAAAGAGGGAAAAAATGATATGAACGAGGAAGATGCTTCTTTTTACAAAGCGAGCAATAATTCAAGTGTCAATGCTCCCACCTCCAGAGGATACAATATCAGGGGGCATTATAACACCAAAGGAAATTTAAACCTAAAAGGGAGTAGTGTCACCAAGGGAAACAATTATAATAATATGAAACGTAATAATAGCATCACGAAAGGGAATGGCGGAAGCACCAAGGGAGCAAGTAACAACCTCAGGGGGGTATCCATAGCGAAGGCCTCCCAGGGTAAAACTAATATCACCAGGGGGGCAGGAAATAATAGCATTTCCAAACGGCAGCAAGCCAATGGACAGAACTTTCATCACGCGGAAAGTTCGAGCTATAGTTTAACCACTCGGAGCAGTCGTAATTACCATGCGACAACAGATAGGTGCAGCAGCAACAGCTTAACTCCTGATCATGTGAAATGTTACAAAGAAGAGAGGAACCAGTCGATGCAAATACAAAATGGCAAACGACAAAGTGATACCCTTGTGGACACGCGAGACAGTTACCAAGGGGATAACAGAAAAAAGAAAAGAACTTTAAAGGATAAGTTCAGTTATCTGGTGAGGAAAGACAGTGGTGGGCACAGTGGTGGTGATCCTCCTCCTATGTCCACTTCAGCCTACCACGAGACTACTAGCCATAATGACCATAACAGTTCAACCAGTCACGTCAACCACAGCACGCACAATATATACAAGACACATAACACGCGTAACACACGCAACAGCAGTGTACACGCCGTGCAGTTTGCTCAAAAGGGACAACACGGGCAGGGTGAAAAAAGCAACCATGATGATGTGCATAATTTGGACAGCTTGAATGCCCGCTCAAATACCACACATAACTACCGACATGGCACTCACAGTGAGAGCTACAATAACCCTTACGATACTGGCTACCACAGTGCCTACCATAACGCGCATGCAAACCAGCAACAAAACCCAAGCGGGGCCCGTACCTACCATAACACCCGCTCCTGTCACAACACTCGATCGAGCAACAACACAGGAGTCATCAACTGCACAGGGGTCAGCAACAGCACGGGAGTTAGCAATAGCACCAGATCCAGTAACAATACATGCATAATAACAGACAAGGATTTTCAAATTGATTCCCCTGAACAAAACAATGAAGACTTTTACTTCATAAAGCCAATGCACTATGAGTACAGCGATAACCACATGTGCAAACAAGGATGTAACAAAGCCACAAACAAGGAAGGAGAATTTAATTTCATTTTTTCCAACGACTGTTACTCAGATTATTGTAGCCAAAACAAAGATGAATGTAAAGCCAACTTTATTGACCTCACAAGAGAAGCCTTGTCATTAATTCTGCAGGATTTAAAAAAAAACGTCATCCCCAAAATACCCGTAGGGATAGAAAAAAGGGAGAGGTACACCAATTCCTTACGCTTGTGTTTGAAAAGTGCTAAATTCACCAAACACATTAACGAATTGGAACCCTACCTAGAGTTATTTAGCGAGTGTATAAAGAACAGCAAGCTACCGAGTCATATGGATTTGAAGGACCAGCTATTTTATCTGGACAAGCTGTGAAGGTTCGCGGTGGACCGCTGAAGCGGCACACATAATGGTGTTCATAGTGGACGCTTTTTTTTTTATTGTTTATATATTTATTAATTATTTTTTTCCATTTTTGGCATTTTTTTTTGTTTTGTTTTCGATCACCTTTTACCCCCAAAGCGCGCGAACGGCGCGTCACACACACAGGGACAACACCAAACCAGGCACTGTCCCCCCCACCATGAGCATACAAGTATATGCACATGCGTATATATTAAAACGTGTATTGTTATTACGCCCATTTTTTCCATATATTTTTTTTTGGCGTCTTTTCCATTTTTTTCGCTTTTTTTTTTTTATTTTTTTGGCCCTTACCCCGCCCATTCACTCTTTTTTAAATTCAGCACCAAATGGGGGAAAGGGCACATTTTTTTTAAAAAGTGTTAAAATGCATGCACATGTGAAAAAGAGTTGTTTTTTGATTACCCTACCACGGCATGTGCGTCTGCGTTATGTCACGCGTAGTGCCCTTCACACGCAAGACGCGCATCCAGTTTATAAATATTTTAATCCCTACATTTGTTTATTTGCAACATGCACACATTCTCCATTTGGTATATTTTGCTCACCCCTCAAATATTTATCAATATTTTTACAAAATTTTCTTTTTTTTTTTTTATTTTGAAATTTAGCATTTTACACATATATGCGTCACACACAACGTCCACACATGTTCGTGAGTGTATTTCACTCCCCCTTCCCATTTATCTTAACCTATTTATTATTACTGTTCTACCAGTCATTGAGGCTATTTTGCTGCATTCTAGCTGTCGCGTAGCTGTGTCAATCTCCCCTTTCTTTATGACCACGTCTTGGCTTTTTTTTTTTTTTGACAAGTCTCAAAAATAAAACTAAAAATTTTACCTTAATTTAATTATTCATTCAAATGAACAACTATTGGAATAATAAAAAAAAAAAAATTACAATTTTTAATTGTGTAAGAAATTGTGAATGCAACGGGAAGTGTGGGGAACTACGTCTCTCGTGTGAGGAGCCCCCACAGGGAGAGGCGATTGTCTTCTACGCTGCATCCTGTGTGCACATATGACACTCCCCTTTTCGGATGCCTTGTGGCGCAGTCTGCCTTATCAACTTGGCAAAAAAAAAAAAAAAAGCGACACAAAATTATGCATGTACATGTCTACTAGCGGTGCTCGGTGGCAAGTACCTTTTTGTGGAACGTATACGGGGGCGCACATAGAGGGTTGCACATTCCCCATTTAATTAATGCACATGGATTAGTACCTTTTTAAACGTCACACAGAGAGGGTGTGTATATGATGATGTGTAGGGGTGACATGCCGTACAGATATACACACGCATGAGAATACATGATGTGCGATTATTTGTTCCTACTCAGATGCTGTACCCCACTCCATTGTTTCTCCTCCTTCTGGGTCACCTCTTGGACGTCTCTGATATGAACATGTCGATGAACTTCTCCCTGTCGTAGTTACTAAATTCCGCGAGGTAGTCAAAGTCCAAATCGCTGGAGCAGGTACGCTTCTCACAATCATCATTAGGGTTTTTATTTATCCCTAAACCGAAGTAGCTGTTTTTGTAAATTCTGCGATTAGACCCATTGGTGTTATCCCCATGGGTACGTTCATGCGTGTCGCCATTAGATGGATTCATTCCATGTTCATGCGAAAAAGGATCAAAAATTGTTTCGCATTCCGCATTGCTAATGCGATATTGTTGGTTATCCTTATTTGGAGGTAAGTTTTTCATTATACAATTCTTTTTTAATCTTTGCAAAGAGCATTTCTTTCTTCTCATTATGTCGTATGTAGCACTGGGCAAGTTGTCATAGTAGTATGGCTTAAACACATAATTGGAAATTCCCTCTCCAATTTTTTTACTATTTTGTATGAAACATCCTGGTTTAACAAATGGTGGGTTCATGTGACTCTGTTCGGAATACCTCCTATTGTTATAAACAAAATTGTTATCGTTATGAGTTAGCAATTTATAAAATGCCACACATGTAGAAGCACGCTTTTTATACCTTAGCATGTTGCTCAGAATGTCTACACCCCGTTTAAGTGAAGAACTTATGGTCGAATTAATATTTACAGGGTCAGCATTGTAATATAAATTGTTGCTTAACTTTCTAAATGCATAGAATAGTAATTTTAACTGTGCAATTTTAAAATTTTTTATTAAATTTATGAAATTTTTTTCCACAATATCTGCGTCTAGTTCTACGTAGTTGTCCTCATCGTCGTCCATGGCTGTTCCTCTGGGCCCGGCTCCTCCAGCGGCCGATGGTGTTTCCTTTACGCCCTTCCTCATAGACATTATTAAATTTTTCTCATTTTTTTTTAAAATTTCAATTTTGTTATCCAACAGCTGTTTTTTTAGTTCCTTCATTTGTAATGTTAGCCTTTCATTTTCTGCCAACAGAATTAATTGCTCCTGCCTAAATAATTTCAAATGGGAGTCCGTATACTTGAGAATTTCAGGATACCTATTCTTCTGGTGATGCATAACACCGAATGCGTTAAGTACCAGCTGGTTCATGGCCTTCTTTTTCAATTTGTAATTGATACTGTTACTTTCTATTAGGTAGATGAATTTCTGTGCCGCTGATCCTTTTCGTAATGCTTTATATGTAATTTTCCTGGCTTCATTCAGTGGAATATAATTTATTTTCGTGTCTTGGTCTTTTTCTTCCAGTAATTTCCTTAAGCTCTTTATTTCATTGTCCTTAATTAACAATTCCTTCTTCATCCTCTTCTTGTCTTCCTTCAACTTTTTGTAATTTTCATCATTGCTTAAGTCATGTTTCGAGTTGTTATTTATATTTAGTGTTCTAATTTCTGTTTCGTTTTCCCCAGATCTTCCACCTTTCTCTGGACTGCTAGCCATTTTTTTTTTTTTTTTTTCTTAAAATTGTTCATATATACTTGTTAAAAATGTATGTGTATTTGCGTTTTTAACCGGACCTGTTCATAAAAAAGGGAACAAGAACACTTTAGCTGGAACCATTTCAGGGCAGGGAAATCTCTGCTGTTCCTCCTTTGTTCCCACCAATAATGAGAAAATCGTGCTTGCAAACACTTCCTTTTTCACTCCTTTTAAAAGGTGAAAACATGGCATACATAATAAAAATAAGTATTTTGTATGTGATGCCTTCCAACTTTTTTTGGTGGAAAAAAAAAAAAAAAATCAGACAAGACTTCACCAAATTGGGGCCATTTCTGCAGCTTTTAAAATGTGGGGGAATTCGCAAAATGGGTGGAGACGAGTGGCGTATTCAAAACTGCGCACTACGGAATGGCGAATGAATTTTCTGGACTGCACATGCGATTGTAAATTGCGTTTCAATTCGGGGGGAGGATATTTGTTTTATGCATACTTTGTTCATTTGGGTTAACTGGTCAACAGGGCAACTGCTTCATTATACTCGTTCACGCTCGCGCTGCTGGGCAGTGGCACAAATGCTCCATGGTACCAATGCGTGTCTGCCTTTTTCCGTTGCACTGCACGTAGCTCGACGATCGTCATACACCTAGGCATTTGTCCCTTCAAAAAGCGTTCAAATTGAAACACAAAATAGCAGTCCCGCGTTTTAGACTTTCGTTCGTTTGTGTTCATGTGACACCAATTATGCAACAAAACAAAACAAAAAAAAAAAATGTTATTCTCAAATAAAATGAAAAAAAAAAAAGGAATTTTTCATGCGCCATTCTTTTATTTATGATGGGGCGGGTAAAAAAAAAAAAAAAAAAAAAAAAAAGGTAGTACCAAAGCGAAGGCAATAAAAAACTGCTAGCAAAAAACCTTGCACAGACACCTTCAAACTTCCTGTTCACATGTTTAAGAGAACAAATGGAGAAATTCATCACGTGGAGATACTCACAATAGTATATCCTATGCAGGAGTAAACCACGTTTTTTTTTGTCATGATAACAAATGATGCGTATTTCGAACCACCACAATGGAACGTTTCCACGGGCGATTAACCGAAGCGTTCTTGTGTGTGCGCGCAACGGTGTAGGGTAAGACGTCCTAATGGAACATACGCAAAAAAATGTACTCGAACACACACGAATGAACAGGTACACGAATACACTTGGTAAGTATGCGGACAAAGACAGGCAAAGAAGCCTCTTCACACTGCAACGAATTATTACTTATCAAATTATTATTTTATGTTTTCTCCTTTTTTTTCCCATTCTCGTATGCTGTCTTTTCTCACCAGTTGACTTCGAACTGCTGAACCTATTAGCCATTCCACTTTTTGTTCATTTCGCTTAAAATGTTTTTGGAGTACAACCCCTTTCTGTTCTTTATGTTATACTGCTGGTTGTACGACTGGTGTTGCATTTGTTTAATTTTTTTTTTGCCACAACTGTTCTTAGCCACGTCGTGGGGTACTTGCCTTTTCACACTTTTGTAAGAGGTCATCTGCTTCTGCATTTGTACCCCCCCTTTTTCCGTCTTCACACTTTCTTCCTTCTCAGGATGTTCAGAAGTTTTACACCTTTCCTGGTTCTTCTCTTTTACGTAGCTAAGTAGGGAAGACAACAAAGCATATTTTTCATATTTTCCTTCTTTGTCGCCTAGGGTTTTAAGTTCCTGGCTGGCCTTCTCGTCACTTTCGTCGTTTCCAAAGAATGTTCTCTCCAGGGTGAAGGTCTGATCAGGAGCACTGATTGTGGGGGTTCCTCCCTCTTCGCGCGCTTGCTCCTCGTTACCGCCTCCGTCGCATGTGCTACGTGGGGCATAGCAATCATCGTCGCTGTTGCCATCGCTATCTGCGTCGCCTTCTTCACCCTCGTCGGCAGGATGCCCCTCACGTTGGACCCCCTCCGAAATGCTCTGAAAGTGCATCCTGGGCGGGACAATGAGGATTCCGTCCCCTACCACCCCTTCGCCTATTTCTCCCGTTTCGTCCACCTCATCCCCACCTAGGCCCCCTTGTTCCTCCCTAGGGAAAACGCCTTGCACGCAATTCAATTCCTGTTCACTGCTGCACTCACAAATGTCCGGCTTCTCATTTTGAATAAAACTTCGATAAAATTGTGGATTCGTTTTTTTCTTCATACTAGATTTGATAATGATCTCAAATAGAGTCTCCAGATTTTCACACATGTGATTAGACATGGGGATGATAATATTTTTTAAGCTTGAAATGGAAGTAGGCATATTTAATACAATGGAAATTATGGTGTGTATATTAATTATGCTGTCCGGAGATTCGTCATTTTTTTTAGCTACCTTTTCTCTCCACACTAATATATTTTCTATTAGGGTATCACAAGTAGTGGAGCTATAATTGGACGTTTTTATAATCGTTTTGATTTTGTCCTTTGTCTTTTCCACATCACACACATCTTTTACCTTGTACTCGAGCAGGCACATCTTGTTGCTCTCTCTGAATACCTTCCTGATAATTTCCTCTCCATATTTTTGTTCTTCTACCGATATATCTTCGAATTTTATATTTTCAAAGTGTACGTAGATGTTGCTTGGGGGTGGACCGTCTTGGTCAATCATCCGTTGCAGCGTGTCCATTGCGTCTACCGCATCCATCTCGTCCACCGCATCCATCACATCCATCTCCTCTTCTCCTCCCCCCTGCGCATGGTCCGCCCGCCTGTAGTGGGCAAATATGTAATTGAAATACAAATCCGTTTTGATGTACTCGAAGAGGTAGTACAGGTAGTGACAAGGCATTCTCAAATGATAGACCAAGTCAGGAGACAACGGTCTTGTGAGGGCATGTAATCCATGACCAGCAGAATTGACATTCACATGGAAGTAATTGTGCACCAGATAATCCAAAGAATTTCTAATGTTCAGAAAATTTGAACAAATAAAAATGTCCACAACATTAACAAAGTAGATGGAGAAATCCTTCTGCATTATTGGTATAACATTTTTCGACTTGTACACAATTTTGAGGATATTAGGATCTGTAGTAATATCGTTCAGCTGATGGATCTGCTCAAACATGTGCAGTGTATCAATGATGTAATCACACTTATCTGTTCCAATTAGAATTAGGGATGTGAAACCTCGGTAGGTGTTCTTATAATTCACCACAAGGGAGAGGGACAACTTAGTACACATTGCTTTAATAGTATGTACCATTTCGATCAGTTCATTTTCCATGCTAATGATTTTGCACTCTTTCTCGCTTAACTGCACCGGTTTGGGCAGTTCAGCAGTTACCTTCACGAAGGGAGACACACTTTCATCCCATTCGTGATACCGATTGATCATGTCATTTATTTCATAACTGTACGGATTGCCCAGGTTGCTAAATTTGGGGCCATACTTGTTTATGTCCTTATCTAGCCTTTTTAGCATCTTCCAAAAAAAATACTCATTCGGGAGGGAGGTAAGCCTTTCCGGGGTGTTAGTAAGCTCATCCGAGGAGTCCCCCGAGCTGCTACACGAGTGAAGTGTCTTCACCTCATCCATGGTGCCCCCCACTGCATTCCCCACCTCATCCTCTTGAAATATCTCTCCAAAAATATCCCCACAATTTATATGCCTTAACTTATTGCCGTTAAATAGTGCCCTGTATTGAAGAACTTTCTTCTTCTTCTGGATGTAGCTCTGAAGACACTGGACAGCTTCTACAAAGTCTCTCTCCAGGTCCGTCAGTCTGTTATGCTTCACAGTTAGACGGGGGATGAAGAAGGTAGCATAGTTGTTAATTAGGTGTAACCAGGCGTATTGTATTTTTCTCGAACTTCTCCTAAATGGGGAGAGACGATCGATCATTTGGGGGTTCTCTTCACTTTTCATCTTCCTCTTGGATGATGATAACCTCCTTTTTTTACTATTTTTGCTCATTTCCTTTTTTGTTTTTTTTTCATTTGTCTTTTCTGTGGAACTCTCCTCTGATTCGGTCTCAACGTGCAAAATGTTCGACCGGAATATTAGCTGGAAGGTATTATCCCTCTCTTCCTCTTCACCAGTTCGTGCGTGCAAATTGGGGTCCTTACTACTCTTCGTATCGTTGTTGTTACTGTGTGCGTTAGTGTCCCCTTTTGTATTGTCATTCTCTTCCTCCTCCGAATCACTATCATCTATTGGCTCATTTCCCCCCCTTTGAGATTCACACTCTCTTGGGGAAGAAGCAAACTCGGGGGGAAAAGTCTCCTCAAGTTTGCTACTTTTACATGCCAACATTGAAGCCTCCTTATCCTTAACATAAAAGAAACGAAAGCAGTCCTTCGATCTGGTGATTATTTCATAGAGCGTGTTAGATATGACATGATAATTATTAGGTAGGGTTAAGTGGTCACCATCTGTCTCGCACATAATGGAACTTTTTGTTTTTTCATTAGAGCTGTATAATAATAAGTCGTGCACCGTTTTTAATAAATCCTTTTGAACTTTTTTAATTTCCTCATCGTTGGACATAACATCTACTCTGCTCTCGTAAAGACAATTTGTGGAGAGCCTGTTTGTTAGTATAACAATTTCCATAACATTTTTTAGTAACTGTTTTATTAAGTATTCATTTTCGTCGTTGGGCAGTTCAACCTCGCCATCCTTTCCCCTCACCAACTCTTCAATCCTTTTACTGCAGTTCTCCATCAGTTGTCCGCGGTTGCTAAGTAAAAGTACCTCTTTATGGATGTTGGTGCACGCCCACCTCAGTTTTACTCAACGTGGAGTAAAACAAATACGCATACCCTTCAGAGTGTAGGTATACCTATATATATACATACATACGTGGATACATGTGCGCGTCAACCCGTGGCGGTACATTCATCGCTACTAACAAATGTTACGCCTGCCCGAATCTACAAAACAACAAACCATCATCGTTGCTGGAAGATCGCGCCCCCTGACCACGGAAAGAGAAATTCAACATATGTTGGTCAAAAGGCTTAACAACACGACAGTAAATTTTTTCGTCCTTCACCTTTTGTACATATTTATACGTACATGGATAATATGCACTTATATAATACGTTGCTATGCTTTAAATATTTATCACGCAACAAAACTGATGTGAGCGCCGAAGCGGGAACGTGACATGGGAACAGTTTTCCAGGTTAGAAAAAAAAAAAAAAAAAAAAAAAAAAAAAGCACCTCCATTTTGACGTAAAAAATTTTCTAATTAAAGCTTTCCTGAATGGAAATTCCTTTCACTGTAATTTTTTATGTTACATTTTTCCCTTTTATAATTCTTATTGGTATAATTTTTTTTTTTGTTATTCCGTGTTGCCACTCCACTCATCCCTTTGGCGACACCCTTTTTTCGAAAATTTAGCAACACGACAATTCTTCATTTCACGCGAAGAGACGAACACCTCCATGTGGCCATGCAACCCTGAACAGTTAAGCATTTCTTTGTAGTACCAATTTTATGCGTCCCTGTGTTATGTGTACAATTTGGACTTGCTCGTCTGTCGCTGCCCCTCCGAACGTAGAAAATCGGTTATGCTTGTTGCGGCGGTCTACGGCTATACCGGTAGACGTAATATGAATGGGGTACTCATCCACGCGGCTACCTGCGCATTCCCGCTGTAGCCGTTGTGCCATTTTACAACGCCCTTTGCGCAGCTAAAACAACAAGCACCTCAGGGAAAACAGAAATAATACGGGGGTATATTTTCACCTGTACTTGAGCACATTTGTGGTGGTCCAAGATTTAGCCACATGTGAAGTTGTTGCCCCTACAGATAGAGCATCAAAGAGCAGACCAACTGCGTGGACACACCCAACTAGCGAACAGCAGCTAGCCAAAATAATAACAAAAAAAAAAAAAAAAAAAAAAAAAAAAAAAAAAAAAAAAAAAAAAAAAATATGAACGAGGACGATAAAAACGATTTTTGTACAGACGCGGCAATGAACCATGAAGAGGTGACAAAGGAAGAAAAACACGCAGAAGCGGTACCAGAAAATCTAACGTGTCTTATTTGCTATGATGACATAGACGAAAGTAATTATATCGAATATAAAACAAGCCAATTTAGCGAATGGCACCCAAGCACGTTCTGTCAAAACTGCACAGGAATATTAATACAAACCCAATACCATAAATATATAAATAACGTGCAAAAGTCAGAGTGCCTGAGGGAACAAAAAAATTTACTTGAAATGGGACCTCCAATAAATGTAAAGGACAAAAACGGATTTCCCTTCTCAGATGGAAATGAAATTTATAGCCTTTGGTACTTTTCTGATAAAAAAATTCATTCGGCAAAATTGGATGGCAGCTTGGAGGGCGAAGAACGAATGAAATTGTGGAATGAGTTAAAAAATTTTCTTATAAAAGAGGACAAGACGGAATAAGGGTGGAACACAGGACTCCATTTGTTTCTTCCTGCATGTGGGATGATTTAAGATTATCTCACCGTTTCACACATGGAATCGGTAGTGTGGTTACACAAAAAAAGGAAAAAAAAAAAAAATATAGCAAAACGTGGTCTACATAAACAAAGTAGATCACATGCTTACACCAAATGGATGATCTGAAAAAGCAAATGAATGTCACGTAGACAACAAATTCTACACTGCCAGGGTAAACAAGAGGGAACTCGCTTTTTACGTTGTTTTTTTTTTTATTATTTTATTATTATTTTTTTGAAGGTCGCCGTGACAGTATTACGTGCGTGTCAGCACGTGTGTGCCAATTTTTTTTCGCACAGAAAGGATGTACGTACATGTGACCGCCAGATGGACACCGTTTTGTAGGTGGTCCAACTTTGTCATAAGGGGAGAATAATAAACACCCCATTTATTCTTTACCCGTTTACTCTATAAGATGAAACTTTATTTTGTCTGTTCCGTTCCCATAGACATTATGCCTCATCTCCCCTCACTATTTTTTTTTTTTTTTTTTT